TTCCTATTGGTCCTTCACACTGCAGCAAAACGCGCGTTGTAACGCGTGTACTACTTGCTGTACATACGGACAGACAACGTGCGTTTTGGCAACGGTATCATCCGAAAAACGCGGGGCGATAGTATGTACGGTTCTTCCTGTTGTTCCGTCTTCATTATGTACGGTTGTTCCATCTTCATTAGTGTAGTGCTTCTACAGATGATTTCTCATTATCATACTCCACTCTTTTAATTTGCAATAAACACAGCAATTAGCCGCTTGGATACACAATTTCTAAATGAAACTTGGTAGATGAAATAATGACACTGTTTGTACGACTGTCGGTAATGCCAAAATGGTTTGTGGCATTTCATTCTTACAAATCATAAAACTATTATAACTACATCAGCAAAAGGTATCAATCACCTGTATACCAAAATTCGATTAATAATGACAATTATGGAATATACAAACTTGAGTACATAAAGATAAGCGTACGCACTCATGTGTATTGCTATTGTTGTATTTATTTCTTTACTTATACAGAATGTACTACCATCACAGTGGTTAATAAAATTAATAAATAAATACGTTGTTTTCCGTTTCTGCATATGAAGGTTGAGATCCTGCGTTCATCCATTTTGTGTCAGGGTCCCTTAAAACTTACTGAAAAGGACGTCTGTGTACCCTTCGTTAAAATAGTATTCTTCCCTATTGGTCCATCGGAGGAGACTGGACTAATATTATATACGGTAGGAAGCCCTGCTAAATACACCTATATCAATGCTGGACCATGAACTTGTACATTATCAAGGAACGTCAACCAAGAAACTAGATATTATAATTTATTATGTTCTTTTATGATAGTAGCAAAGAAACTTTGTGAATGCTAAGGGTAATTTACCATGCATTTTATTAGTGGAGAGGAATGGCTATGTATCCGAGATACTTTATATTGCTCACGAGACTAAACATTCTGCAATGTTAAAATTATTTTCCATTTCTATAAATGTTTACGCTACTTTCGGACTCTAAAGACATATCGGCAGTGTGGTCAAATAGGTAATTATGAACTAGATTTTTGATTACAAGAAAGCGATTACTTCTATTTTCACTGAAAAATTACACAAAAATTCCTTCTTAACATGGGCGCAAAAAACATTCACACAAATATACAATGTACAATGACTTGTGGTGAGATCAAAAATAATATTATAGTGAGATGGCATTGCTTTCCTAACACATTTGCACAGTTTACAGTGGCCAGTGTCTTCAAAGTAAAGAGGGTTGAAGTTTACTACAAAAATAATGTATCTCAAATATCTCCAGAGGAAATTGAAAAAGAAGCTAACTTCCGAATTGATCTTCAAGGCTTAGGTTCTTGAGATATTTATATGTTTGTATCCGAGTATGACTACTCTATATCTAAAACAGCATTTTACAGCTTCCTGTGACGAAACTCGGCAATTTGTTGAAAATAGCTCGAATTTTCGTGTACGGTAATCGGTGGGGAGTTACGGATGAGCTTTGAGTATTTTTGGCACGCGGCACGATGGTTTTTGGGTCTGCGATTTTTTATACTTTCTTTCTGAATAGTTGACTAGATGAATTAGTGCAATTCACGAGAATCAAACTACAAGTCTTTATTTACTGGGATGTGTTACAAAGATTGTAGAGGTGTTCAATTTATTTAATACTTTTCTAACTGCTGCAGACGTGTTTGTACCGCATTTTTATGTTCTAGTATTTGATCTCTTTTTTGCATAATCATACTATTATTGTGTCCTAGGTACGTAGCTCTGTTTGGCCAGCAAATTTGCTACACGATCGTATATTTATCTATCTTTATATGCAAGGTCTACATCAAAATTGTCGAGATGAAAATCAGTTATCTTTCTACAATAACTGGAATCAAACACAAAGCAAATAGGATGAATTACATCACTGGAAAGATTTCATGCATAGGAAGTGATATACTATCACAGAGAAAAAAAAGACTCGATCTGTTTCCGTTCACTCTCTACAAAAGAAAAACAAAAGCGGCTTTGAGACACGTTATAATAGATAGCAGGTCAGTAGCGCGCACTCATTGGCAACATTTCTATTCTTACTTCTGCTCCTTTGGTTAACAAAATATTAATCGTAATTCCGCAGCATGGCTCAGGACAAAGTGATATTTAACAAAAAATGGTTGTGTTGTGGCATCCATGGTAAAGTTTATAAAACAAACCCGAGCCTTGTTGTTTTGCTGTGCAAATTTACTACTTTAGCCAACAAATTGCTCCTAACGGAAGCACTTATACAACTGTTGTTTAGTAACTGTTAAAGGCTGTACATATGCTGAATATGTTGGTATACAACTTCACCATAACCTAACTTTCTGCTGTCATATTTTTGTTAATATGCCATAACCAATGTTTTAAGACAAACAGCGCATGCATATTGGTTAAAAAGGTTTTATCAACTGTTCAAACAGAAGATATAGATCTGGTACAAATTCTAGGTAAATCATTCGACTCTGTCGGTATTTCATTTCTGACATTTGTCAAATTGTTGTATAACACCTGCAGGCAACACCAAAATATTCTAATGAACTAAAGACAACATGGACGATGCCATGATTATATACAATCACCCGCCATATTGGGCAAACATTTATTCCTCTATTTGATATTAAATAATTATGTTTCAGTTCGAAATTACAGATATAAAGTGATAAACATTAGTGTAATTGTGTCTAAATATAGGATTTGTGGAAGACTTAACGCAGATAAGTTCAGTTTTCCATCTTGCAAATCTAGACATACTTTTGATCATTATCAAAATATGAATCAAATACGAAGCCCGTAGAAATTGCGTAACTACTTTGCACGATAATCACAATAAAATTTACTGCGCAAGTAATTCAATAGCCCTATATCACAGTGTAGAAGTTTATCATATACCTGTGTATGAAATTCACAATGGCCGATATGTAAGTAAACAAGATGACTGTATTGTGTTAGTTATATATTCTTTACTTCGTCTATACAATACATAAGAGAAAGTTTGGTTGCAATAAAGTAGAATCACGTAACATAATATAACTATTATAGTTGACAAAAACTGAATCTTGCACTGACGCAAATGTCCTATAGCGGCTGCAAGAGGCTTACACTTTTTTTGTATAACTGTTACCTGCAGCCCTTATACTACAACCTCTTAAATGACTGAAATGTCCTATTAGGTGTGCCCATTCCGCTTGTATAGCAGTTTCTAAGAGGGTTTTGCTAATGTTCTTACAGTATACAATGCTGTGTAAGAAATACTGTATAATAATTCTTGCTACTCTAATAGGAGTGATAATTGTTAGTTGGGAGGGATACACTTTGAGGGAAATTTTGCTAATGACATTCAGGGCAAGACACCTTTCTGAAAAGTATCGTTGACAAAAGATGTTTAAGGTAATTGTAAAAATTTTCAACAGGTTCGTGTAAAGTGTGTCTAACCACTGCTCTGATCGTTTGCCTTAATTCCCGATGTCTCGATTGTTTAATGTCAATTCTGTAGTTTTCACGACAACTAAAAAAACTTCAATATTGAGTGTTGGGGTTAACTTCAAACTTTACCCTATGAGCACGTGTCCCGCGCTCCGACTTGATGGCAACCCAAACGAAATTTCGAAAGAAATGTATGAGTCTCCCCCCTTGCCCAAGACCCCCTACATAGTTTAAGACGGCCCTGCAAATAGAATTAAGATTAAGCGGATTCAGTATCCTACTGAAGAGGAAAAGCATATCTACAGATCTCTTTTAAACAAGTAAACTAATCACATGTTTCAATGGTACGTTTAACCTTAACCACATTGTAGAAGTGGCGAATGATCCGTTACGTGACGATAGACTTGAAATCGCTGTGAGGCTTTAGATTTAGAGTATCACAGGCAGGCTACTGCCTTAGAACCAAAAGATATGTGCGGGGCAGACTCAGGGTCATCTTTGGCGGAAGTGTCCTTCTTAGTTCATCCGCCATGATTGACATCGGAAAGCCCTTCTATTACATTTATTCATGTATTTACGCTTTAGGCGTCGAATCCGATCAACACAGCATATTGTGTTTGACCAAAGTGGACGACGGACGGTGCCTGAGGCCGACTTCCCAATCTCATAATCATCCTCCTCCCGTATTATGGCACGTCACTGTCGCGTTCTCACATCTACAGTGCGCGAAGGTGAAGGCCAACTCGTACATATCTACATGACTCTGCACATGCGCACCTCTGGCATAATTAAATCGTATTTTAAAACTGCAAGTACAAACTGCGGCGCTATCGAAGGGCCTTTGGTGGGGATACAGGGGGCCTGGGAGGCGGTCTGTCGGGACAGTGCAGTTGGGGTGGACGGCCTGCTCAAGGTTCCTAATAACAAGCAGAATGCTTTCAGCCGGTCGGCCTGTTGAAATGATGCTGTTGCAGTGACTATGTTTAACATAATATTCAACCTGTAGTAAGCCAACCTCATTCAGCAAATCGACGAGTACAATTTAGTTAAAAATTGGGGATTGTGAGTTGTAGGGCGTGGAGGAGCGTATATCTAATTTTTTCGATGCACTTATAAGACATATTTCACTCATCAACGATTTTCCCGTACATTTATCCTAAAACACTTTAGAATGATGAACAAATATTTCCAACCGTGGCGTGTCGATAATACGTGCGACGCGGTCCGCCCGGCGCATGTGCGTCGTGGTCTGCCACCGGTGCTCGACTGCTGTGGATGTCGATCGTCGATAATCTTCCACGGCAGATGACATTATAGTTTCAATCATGTGTGCCCACAGGAACTTTGCTCAGGTGGAGGGGGAGAGCGATCCATCGGAAAGATATAACTGTAAAAGCATTCCTATCTCCAAAACTTTTTGAAGAGCGAGGGGTAGCATATTTTCTCAGGGGGCCAAATCCTAAAGAGCCCCAAAACTGTACAGAAAAAGCATACTAAATGAGCAAATTTCAATTGTATGAGCCTGTTTGACTAACTTGATCCATTTTTTTTATATTTCGACTGCAGCGAAGGCCTATTACACACACATGGGGTACCGTGGGGCTATAGGGGGATACAGGGCAAAGGGTGAACGCCACACGGACTCTGGCGAGAGAACACGTGTGCATGCAACATGCACACATTCTGGCCCCGCCTACGAGATCCGCCGGGTGGTATATCTGCGTTCGACAGTCAGAGACCGTCTACCACCTACGGACAATCACAACATCCATAGCCAAGAGAAAAATTTCTCTTGGGACGGGATTCGAACCCGCACAGCGCACGGCGACTAATTAGGAGACCAAAGAGTCTACTACTGCGGCCACCGCTGCTGCCTTATTTTTTATACATATTTGTAGCTAACTCTTTTGTTCAGTGCGGCCAAGTTATGCCAAACGTAATCCTTTATGAACTGATGACAGTGTTGCGTAGGAAGTGCAGTGTCAACTTGCTCGACAACATTTTTTCATCATAACTCTTAATTTATAAAAACTATTAGTCCGGGATCCCATGTCTCAACGTAGTCATTAGTTAAGGGCTTCAGCGACATTTCGCAAAACGACGGAATATGAAAAAAAACTTTTGACTCCGTCAGTGGTCGATGATGCTAAACGTTACGCCATACTTGAGATCTTATCTTTTCCTCTTACAGCCATTTTTATATTGATCGGCCTATTATACGTTGTAATACCTCGATAGTGGTATCAAAACCGTATTACGCAAAGATGATAGCCCTGTCGTATCGAGACACATGAGTGTACGCGAAAGAGAGCACGGAAGAAAATAGAAGAGTATCTTGCCAATTGAGACACGGGTAACATCATTTATAACCTTCAAATGGTTGTCCTTGGTCGAAATGGATGTAGCAAACGGACCGACACAATTGGGTTTCGATACTGCTGCGTGGTGTTGCTACTTTAGTTGCTGCCCTGCCACTACATTTGCTACGATGCGATGCATTTGCGCTAAACTTTCCTTTTCAGCATCAACAGTCATTACTACCGGGCCTGACGGAAGTGGTATTGATGCACCATTATTTGGGATACCACGAACCAACGAATATACCATGTAAATTCGGCAGGTTATGCATAGAACTATGGCCATCCAAATGAAGTCACACGTTTGTCTGATATTTATTTTATGTGTGCGAAGAACAAGCAATTGCACTTTTAGTTTGGATACAGTTTCAGTCGCTAGAATTTTAATTTGGAAAAGGGATTCTAAAAGTAGATATCTCAGGTGCGCCTCCTGAATGTACAAGGAATAAATATTCCTCGGTTCTACAATGATTTTTCCTTTCAAGACATTTACTACCCCATATCCTCTGAGTATTTTTGGCTTCTGATACTGTGATACTTCGTACTGCTTGTCTTGGAGGTTTGTCGTTTCCACATACTGCTAGGTAAATTCATACCTGAAGTCAAAATACACCAACTTGTTGATATGTTTAATAACTACTATTATTATACTAAAATGCAACATTCTCATTTTTTTATTAACATCTTTTTTAAGGCTTTAGTATTTCAGGTTGCTCACATTACTATTTAAAATTACTATTTGAACCTCTCCACTCATAATAAGCTCTTGAGGGTTTCTATCTGGTAACTTGCATTGATTTTGTTTTTTTAAGAATAATAGATTTTGGTAGATTGATTCTACATACTCATACAAGGAATAAATACCCCCCAGTGTTACAATGGTTCCCACTCCATATTATCCTAATCTTTTGGGTTGGCTTCCGATACTTGTTGCTTGTACAAGGCAGCTTCAGGAGGTTTGCCGTTTCCACTTGCTTTCAAAAAATAGTGTAATACTTTTGGCGGGAGAATATCTCAGGCCTTGAGAAATGGTGGAGGCACCCGATGACAAAATATGTCACATTCGCCATTTTGTGTACTTTTATCCATTCCCATCTTTGATATAGCTTGCATCTACTCGTTAGCTGAATAATTTGTTCGAACTGATTTGTAATGAAATTACCTCATGAATGAAGGTACTAATAACTCAGACTTATAACTATAAAATGTTATGCAACCATATTCTCTTTTGAGTGACGAAAATGGCATTGTGATTTATTATTATGACATTGAAAACCTAATCTGAATTAGGGTAATATCTCAGATACATCTCATAAACAGCGAATGCCTTTGACAGTATTTTGCACAATTGTGCAGTGCATAACACTATTATATCATATTTTTGTAGCTCGACCTAATAACTCAAAAAGTCAAAGCTCATAACCTCTCAAAGCAACTTTTGACTGGAACAATCAGTTAAATGGGTTTTGACCGATGTTCTTAGTCAGAATCAGTTTTGATTCGTGAAACGAGCTTTTGATCGACGTTCTTGGGGTTTTTTGTGAGTGGGTCAATCACGATCGTCCACTGCGACTCACTGGTCTGTTGAGGCTCACATCTATGTTTCCTTCTTTAGGGAGTCGATCAGCTGATTTAGAAGAATTCCTTTCAGGTCTTCTACTTGGAGGATTAATCGACGTTCTTAGCCAAAAATGGTTTTGCCTGATTTAGGGATCAAAGTCAGTGTCATAACAACTTAGACTACCCAAAACAAATTGACACTTTCGTCAATGGTACTTGAGAAGGTCACTGCTGGAACCAAAATGTCGTACAACAAAGAGGAATTTTAAAGTAGTGCGGTTTGATTCGGCCTGAACAATACAAAGATAATAAGGCCTCCAGAAATAAAAAGGTTGCAGTTTTCAACTTGTCTGACTGGTGGATATTGGTCGTTGTTGTCGAAGAGTTGCAAGGTTAACGACGATCACGACGCCAGGTGGAATGTAAAAAATTGCCATAATCGCTACTTCATTTCTTTCGCTACATTTGCCGTCAACAAGATTTTGCGTAGGAACTTCCTTGAGAAGATCCGGGTGCAAAACATTCCACAGAACCAAAAAATAACGTAAACTCACGAGTGAATCTCAGAATCTTATGATAGTTGGGGATGGATCTCGGAGAAGACTGAAAAGTATTAAAACCACCAGGGTCTATTGTATCTTCAAATTGCATAGGAAATACCAAAATTCTGATACAGCAAATATTCATCATAGTATACTAACCTGATTGTAACCACCTTTAGCAGATGTGCTGTATCATCAAATTGATGAGTGAACATCAGAAAGTTCTGATATACGTACAGCATATTATTCATGAAAGTTTACTAGGTACCATGTTTATAACCAGCTTCGGTAGATTGTATTACATCGCTTGAGTTACCAATCCTTCTATGTCTGCTCCTGTTCCTTTATTGCGGATATGTCCATGATTGTTATTTCTTTTTCGTATATGTTTCTGTATAGTGAACTGGAATACAAACTTAGGTTGGTCCATAGTGCTGTTTTTTTTTAATAAAAGCTATTTTCTCATATTCTGACATGATCCCAGTAATTCAAGAAGTACAGCAACACGACGACCTGTGCATAGTATATTCTTTTCGTTCTCCGATACTTCAAAACATCATGTTAGTTATTAAATTCAAGGTCTAACATTAAGGAAACGTAAGGTGTTTTTTCTCATTATTATTCACATAGGGAGAAAAAGCTATTTCTTCAATAATGATATATCCTTATGTTGGTAATGAAATAAAGAAATGTTTCAATATAATGCCTTCTTCACGTTTTATCCTTTTTTCAAAAAAATGTAAAGTAGAAGCAAAGGTAAGATTTTCTACTGCCACTAAGGGATTGGGGTTCAGGAAATTTGATTTCTTCAATTAGAATTCTCCATAGCGTTCCACAAGATATTCCACATATCTGACAGTTCCATTGTTGAACCAGATTCATAGGAAAGACCGCTGCATATACAAATAAAAGCATTCCAAGTTTGGAAAGTATAGGTATACAAAATAAGATGTTGTTTCATTAAACATTCATCACACATTAATATATAGGTTTTCATCAAACGTCAGAAAGACCATATGGAAATTGATACAGTAGGTGAAAACCGAAAAGGCCGAATCTCTTTAGAAAGGGACTATTATCTGAAAAGTAGGTCAAGCCCAGGTCAACCAGTGGCGTGCGCATGACCATTATCATCCATCGTGCATTAAACAAACTGTCTCATATTCTACCATACTAACACAGACCCCATATCTCCAAAAATTTCAAAAATTGAGATATCTGCATCAAGCGAATAATCATGATTTATACTACATTTACATAGAAGAACCTCCCCGTATTTTACATTTTTAAATGTTTTATGAAGGAAAATAGTTTCCCCGTAAACTCCAAAAATTGCTTGTACACTTAGTATAAACCCTGCATATTACATTACCCTGGTATATAAACTCAGTAGATTACGGGCTATTAACTAAGAGAAATCGATATACGAGGTATTTTTCTAAGGAATAAAGCATCTCCCCTATCGGTGCTGTCCTTGCCAGGTTTTCTATAAGCATTTTGCCGCGTAAATCGTCACTTTATTGATTGGTTTCGACTTGTCGGCATGTTTATTATAAATTGAATCCCTCTACATTTTTCATTAATATATCATTAAAAAATTGTCTTAATATTTATAAAAGTGTTGTTAGTGGCAAGCATAAAAAGATTTTGCTTTGGTAAGTTAATACGGGGGCACAAAAAACAGGGATGGTACATGGAGAAAGCGAACTAATAAAGATCTGATGGAGATGTATAACCAACCCAGTATAATACAAAAAGCCCGAGCTCAAAGAGTGCGCTGGTTAGGACACGTTTACAGAATGCCGTCTCATAAGAATGCCAAAAAAGTTTTGTTTGGAGGAGAAGGTAGTAGAAGAAGAAGAGGAAGACCGAAGAAGCACTGGCTGGAAAGTGTCAAAGAGGATATACAAAGACTAGGCATACCAGACTGGGAGGAAAAGACCAAAAAACAGAAAAGCGTGGAAAGAAGTTGTCAAAAAGATAGAAGCCATGGGCCTTCAGGCCTGAAGCGCTGAATTATATATATAAGTTAATACTGTATTAAAATATATAAAATGATTGTCTCTTGCGCAGATGTAAATTGTCATCATAATTACATAGTTAAAACCAAGCATAAGCGGAATTTGAATTATACGTGGCTTTAACTAATTATTCTTAACATAATGCGTTGCTTTCTTAGCCCCAATATGCTATGAGTTAGTTTTAATTTTTTTTTCTCAAAAATGATAGCTATGATATTATAGATTATATGATGACTGATCTTATTTTATTAGTCAAGTGAAAGTTCAGCATAAACAGCAAATATCGCCAACCTCAGTTTTCACAAAACCTGTTCAAGTGGAGATGCGGGGGTCTTTCTTGATAGGGCAGTATTATTGACAAAAAAAGTATAAAAATGAGACAAGAGACACACCTGTGTCGCATTGGAAAATCTCGGCCAAACAAATTTTAAAATTCTCGAAAGAAATTGTGATAATGCTCATCTTATTCCATAAATTGAGAGATAATTTTGTATTATGGTTGTGTTAATATGTTTATGTAATACTATCTTTTTTTATAACTGACAGGAAAGTATGTATTATTCCTCGCAGTCGCACATAAAGTTACCGTTTTCCAAGAATTGATAGCCTAGTCAATCTAGGAACCAAGTTGCAAAAACTCCCGCTACTGAGCTACTGGTTGCAATCGGACCAGTGTAGTGACGGAACGCTTTCATGTTACCAAAATGCTCATCATTACATGATTTAGTAAGGACAATGCATTTGTTCTCAGATAGGAAACTTTGAGTTGTTGCGATTGTAAAGAAAACGTGCAAGCTAGTTATGAAACTAGTAACAGAGGTTAAAGCAACAACTCATATTGGCTCATGATCTTGAGATGTTTGTATAGTACAGGGTGGCCAATATATAACTGACTGATTTAAATTGCTCGCCATTTTTGATACACGCATTTCAGTGTGACGCCGTAGTAGTTGTTTAAAGCACATGTGTCCAATTCAGCATGGAGCGCTATACGATCCCACAACGCGTCCGAATTGTTAAAAAGTTTTACTTTTACTTTTAATGTGCCCAGTGTTAACAGCATTCGTCAATTGGTGCAGAAATATGAACAAACAGGTGAAGTTAAAGACTTGTCAAGCCCAGACCGGGTTCGAACTGTTCCTACTCCGTAAAATATCGAGAGAGTTCGTGAAAGTGTAGTGGAGCGTCAGACATTGTTCTCAAGAACTGGGTATTCGTCGCACGTCATGATGCACTATTTTAAAAAAAGACTTGCATTTGCCGCCTTACAAAATTCAGTTAACCCAAGAACTACAGCCTAGTGACCATGAAAGTCACCGACAATTCAGCCATGCAATATTGCAGCTTAATACCCAAAATAACGATGTTCATCGACAACTGATAATAATAAAAATAATAATAATAATAATAATAGTAATTTTTTTTGGAATGTATATACATAAAAAATATAAAAACTACAACATTCCAAAAGGAAAGAGGATTGGCAGGGCCATTTATTCACCTCCCCCTAAAAAGTTAATTTCATGAGCGTTTTTTAACATCAACAGAATGATTAGTATTCACAACAAATATTATGCACAACACAGTATATAATACGATATAGTCTGAGTGTTAATGGAAGATAGTGTAGCAAGTGCCATAAATTTAATTTGTGGATTCAAATCTTTGCAGCTGTAGTAGAACTTTTTCCATCTCATTTCTGAAGTTTTGGGTGGAAGGTGTTTCAAAAAGATCTAAATTATCGTTCACTAGATATGGTGCCGTGTAAGTAAAACATTTTTTGAATCAAGACGTTGTATATAATAATATACACCTTGAGAAAAAACATTATTATACATTATGATGAGGAAGAGAGATGGAAATATACAAAAGTATGTAGGTGCGTGAAAGTCACTCGATTGTAGGATCCTATGTGGCAGCGTCGGAGTGTGACGGACAACGGGGTAAAGTAGAATAGTGATAAAAGAGAGAGATGGCAGAACGGGCGCTGGCGCCTACCGCTTAGACGGATGCGCTCAACAAATGCGATTTGTTTCTCCCATTCGCAGAGTTGCCGATACCAATATGTCATATTTCTAAGAAATCTAAGTCTACCCAAATTTCGGGAAAAACAGCTGCGGATTCCACATAAGAGTATTCCAAAAATGAAAAAAGTTCAAACTATTAAAATTGTATTAATGTTTCATGGTTCAAATCATATTTTTCATGTTTATATATTGTTGTATAAATGATTTTGTAATCCCTATTCTTGTTGCCAGTAGAGATACAACAGTATTGAGAGAAATCATGGACCACTAGATATTGCTACAACTACCATATGACTATCAAATAGTAGTGATAAACAGGGTTTGTTTATAGCACAGTTGCCTGGTGTGGCGAATTTGCGCCATAGGGGCGATTTGACAACTTTGAAGGACAACTATAACGGTTACTATGGTGCCCGGTATTCGGGAATCTGGCAATACCTGATGATTCCTAACGTTTATTACGCCAGATTGTTTGCTGACTTGCGCAGTACAACATGACAATCAACGTGACTGAGCACCTGGTAACCCTGGTTTAAGGTGTTATATTTAAAGAGCTTGGGGCAGTTAGGTATCTAGGTCACATTTTTTAATGTATTTCGAGAAATCCGTAATGTTGAGTAAATACTAGACCACGTTTCTTGCTTAGTTTGCTGAAAATTCTACAATAGACGTACATTTTGAGAAACAGAGATATGGTGACGACAAAATCGTAAAAATATAACGCATTTTCGTAAAATAATTTCTTTGTTGAAAAAACTGTGGCTTGATGACCCATTGAACGAGTATAGTGTCCCGCTCCGCTTTGAATATTCGAAACACTATACTCCAGCAGCATTCAGCTTCAATGTTATCTTTATGAAGTTCTAACGTCTAGGCCATGCTGATTAAAAGCTTGAATGAATCAACACTTAACTCTAAATTCCCCACAATTCGGGAAGCTCTAGTCAAATTGGCAACACAGCGTATCTGCCTATTATTCTCATTCGTGATACAGGTCTGCGGTTAACGGTAGGAAATATGTACGAATAGCGATGAAAGTAGACGAGCCGATGCGCTGTTGCCAAGAAATGATTTCCCATGTATAACAATGGTTTTTCCTAAGGTGTATAATGAGCGATGAAGCCCACTTCGGTATGAACGCATTTGTTAATAAGCAGAATTATCATATCTAGGCATCAGAGAACCCTCGTGTCATCCATCAACGACCACTACATCCCCGTCGAGTCACAGTTTGATGCGGTGTTTGGTATGGAGGTGTCATTGGACCTTACTTCTTTGGAGACGCTGCAGGTAATTCTCTTACCGTCACTGGCGAGCGCTACCGTGATATGATGCAAAACTTTCTGGCTGTTCAAATCCAACAATTTAACCTGCAAAACATGTGGTTCAAGCAGGTCGGAGCAGCTTGTCACACAGCTAGGGAAACAATGAATATTTTGCGAACAATATTTCCGGGACGTTTAATTTCTCGATTTGGTGATATATTCAACGTCTCCTGACTTTTTTATCAGGATTTTTGAAAAATAGGGTTTATGCCAACAATCCAAATACTGTAGAGCAGCTGAAGAACAATATTACGGAAGCGATTAAAAATATTCCTCCAGAAGCCTACAAAGAAGCAATGGAAAATGTTCAAGAGGGCTCAGGTTTGCGCCGCTTCTAGAGGCAGACATTTGTCTGATATTATTTTTCATACATAATTTCTAAGTTTCAATAAAAGATTAAGTTGAAAACGGACGTATTTTATTTCATTTCACAAATATTCAAGATACAAACCAGTCAGTTACACATCTCCCCAATATAAAAACACTACATGTCACAAATATTGTGTTACTATCGAAGTTATAATACAAAATAATAATTAGCAATCCTGTATTTGAACAGGTTGGGTATAAGTAGAGATTTACTCTATTCCAAAACATTTTATTTAACCACTCTGGATCCAATGTGGTTTACAACTGCTACAAGGAGCAGGTAGGAATACATATACGGTGCTACTACACACTCCTAGAAATGAATTGTGAGTGAAAAAAATGTTTACAAAACAGGTATCTGACAAGCTGGGCTGGGCTGATTTGTCTTCCGATTTCACTAAATTAGACCCAGTTTGTTCGTGCTTTGTATAAAATACGTCAATGAAGAGATAGATGTACTCCATTTTGAGGGGTTCTCTCGATTATTATTAAATCTTTTATCAAGGTCTTTCAGCGGCAATCTATGGTGGGAATAGACATTTGGCGCAACGTGTTAATCGTTTTAACTTCTGCCGTGTTCAAAGCCCGTATGTCAAGATCAAATATTTCATCATATTTGTTGCACAAGAAATTGAATGAATTCTCAGTATCATTGCTGCGCACGTTTACATCCATTTTGCCTCAACATTTAGGCCCGTATCGTCAGTCGTCCCTACAATTGTAGGGCGCGTTTATGGCCTCCTTGATTGTCATAGTTTTATACTTCTCCGTGTCAACGCTCTATTTTGAGGTTATGTCACAAACATCTATTTGCATCAAATTGTGCTTGCTTTTGAGTTATATCATGTTTTATCAGCCTGAAATTTCCTACAATTTAAAAGGAAAACATATCTTCACAATAGGACAGCGCTGACGCTGACACGGGACAAGTGTAATCTAGAAATTTTTGAAGGAGAGAAAAGAGTATGACAATCTAGGAGGCCATAAACGCGCCCTACAATTGTAGGGACGACTAGCGATACGGGCCTTAGAACGTGCGCATCCGAGTTCGTTGTGTCAACAAACAGAGGTTATGTTTACAAAACATAACCTTCATGGATATTTTTCTTTTTTTTTCAGCTGAAAAACTTTCAAACGATAGTTAGATTACACAGAGGTAATAGTTGAACGAGAAGTGTTAAGGTTTAATAACAATGATTTCTAGACAACATGACAACAGCCTCATGGCAGAAATGAAGGCATGCAACACGTGTGTAATGGTTTTCGTTTTGTATTTGATGAAAGTGCACGTGTTCTTGTCCAAGTTTTGTACCAAAATATTTGTTCATTGCAGACAGATATAAGAATGAAGCCCGTCTAATATTAACTTGTCGAATTTCTTGTCAAATATGATGAATGATTTGATCGTGACATATGGGCTTAACATCAATATGAAATTTTGCAGTTAACATATTGACAAGGACGATTTATATCCTTTATCTACCGACTAATTTAAATCGTATACCGGGCCCGATTATACAGGTCATATGACAGACCTTTAGGTAACGAGTTTTTTCTCTGTTTGACCAACATTCTAACTCCAACCATTTCGCAGTTTCAAATACAGATTATTGCTTTGAACAGTCTGTGTATTTTTTATAACCTATTCGAATTCTGACGTCTGTTTTTTTATCCTCATATGAATGTTTTTACTTCTATGAAAGTTCCATACGAATTTACCGTATGAAGGAAAAAACGTAAGTTCACGTCAGGTCTCGTGTTATGTGTCTCTTTTTGATATTTTTTTAATGATTTCACATAAAAGCATGAATTGCTATGTGATATTTGTAACGTATTAAATATGGAATAAGCCTTACTGATAAGCTAATCATAACACGTAAGAAATAAAAATTACCATATATGAAATTGCTTAATTGAATAACTTATCTAGTAGATAAATATTATGATTGTAGTTGTAAGAAAAAGGTAAATGACCTACTTAGAAGGACATTGCGATTTTATACATACACATACGCAGATTAAACTGACAAAATAATCTAAGATAACTTGCGCAACTACATTTCTGCTGAATTACTATCTATTATAACGGGCGTAATGGAACTAGAATTGTTTAGACTTCACTTATTTTCAAGCGGGTGCGAGGAGTGTCATCGTTAGGAAATGAAGAAATGGTAGTTTTATAAATATTCCCAAACGTTATTCGATGGTTGAGTAACTTTAAATCATTAACAATATTTCCTATTGTGGATCAAACAATTTAATTTTCCACTCATGCCTTAAGAACTATTTATTTTTGGCCATTGCTTCATCGCCATTGGCCCGATTATTTAAAACTATAAAGATCAATCCTTAGTAAAATCTAGTAATAGTTGTGAATTACGAGAGAGGCGAACATCTTCAAAGAGATGACAGATCGACAGTGCGATGGAAATTAACGACACTGTTTTCAATATGATGTCACACTATGCGTCAAAGTGATACTGTGCATACCATCAAATAAAATAAGTGAGGCTCATTTATTATTTTCCGCCTTGGTAATTCATTATAGCTTCATCGTCATATTCATTCTCGAAGAGTAAAGACACGAATATGTCAAAAGCTGTTTTTTGTGTTGTTCGTTCATCAAATATTGAAGATCTTAGAAATGAAGGATAGTGGAAATCTCCATAGGAGTTAGCACTGTTTATTTTATAAAACAATGGACGTTACATACCAAATTAATTCATATAGTTAACGATGATGCATATAAAAACTTTAATGACATGCTATTAAATATAATTTCAAATGTTTGCACGTTCGATCGAAGCTTCAACGTCACCGGGACAATGCACCTACACCAGTGTCTGTATTCGTAATAACCTGAATTGAAAGATAACAACGTCCATCTGCGGATGGAGTGCGAAAGACGGAAGATCGATCATATACAAGGCGGGAAGCCGAATTAGTTGGACCTAAGCACAAAATGCACTATATTGCTCCCAGTTATCTGTAGCCATCAAGCAGCCTGCAGGATTGTAATATGTTTGTTGGCTTTCAATAACTAACTGCTAACTACTTGAATTCAATAGCTGTTACGAATTCAAGTCTAACCCAGTAGATTTTCTGAGGTGAATTGTCCAAGGTTCTTATCTCGGTGTCTGACATTTTCCTAGTTTCCTGAGAATCTCTTTAGCCGAGCCTTTGAAGCGTAGATTCTGAATAACTCAAAATGAGGCATTTATATCTTGGAGTGATGCCTGTGGGAGTAGAAATTTGGTGCTATTCAGTACATCTGAGGCACAGTCGTATGCTCCAACTAAGAAATCAGTCGTTTCGGCATGTTGGAATTCAGATCACTGGAGTCATTGTTTAGCATAAACACATTGTGGACAAGGCGGACTATATCTCTGAGCACAATAATGCATCTTACGATCTATCCTTTCCACTCTTTATAAGCCTCAAATGAGAACGGGCCTACAGTACCCTAATGTGAAATGTTAGAAATATCAGATGTCTTCCTCAGTTCTACTGACTACATTTGGTATACAAATACGGAATATACGAATTTGACATATTGACTGCGAAATTACATTATACAATAAATAGATAAAATGCAATAAATGCAACCGATTACGCAATTGCATTTTTCACTTTTTCGTTATCGTTTACTTTTTGCGCATCTATTAATATACGAGAATTGTATACCTGGCCGTTGCTCCATACCCACACCTTACATTTATTCCTACGAACTATGAGAGATATAACAACGATACACATACTCCTCGTTATAACTTTCTAAATGAAGGTACGTTTTAATAGTGACAACGCCGATTAACCTCTTCAGCGTCAAATAAAAATCAAACGTGTTTCTTCTGTACTAATATGATCGATTTGTAATGGAAAGTGTATTACAATGTATTATTTCCTTTGACACATGTCAGTTACATATTTAGTGGCGGCAGTGGTATGCGTCTTAAAGTATTTATAATAGATTCTGGCTTATATAGATTATATAGATTAATATTAACATACTTCTGTGTTAAAAACAATATCAAAAAAATCGATTAAAATGTTACTATTTTCTACTAATTTTAGTTCTTACACAGTCTCGACACTTAATCATTTGTGCTCAGTTGCAGCGTAGTGCGAATGCGACTGGCGGCTTTTAATGCTCGTTGGCGTTTTTAAAAAACGATATTCTGAAACATATGGAAATTTAAAATTACAGAGAGAGTTCTAAGAAAATGACCAATTGGATAAAGAATAAATTATATTATCCCTATGTAGAGCCCATATATCCAGGGAATAGAAAGACTCGTTAAAACATTGCTAATGTCTCGCGAACTATCGATTTCATGTAAAAAAGTATGGAACTTAGTCCCGTATCATTTCGTCTCTATTAAACTTTTCCGTAGATATAGAAATGAGATAAATCTCGTGTAATATTTTCGTTAATAAGGGCTAAACTAAAAACCTAGGTGTATAAATACTTTTTTGTAAAGAATACATTTTTCTACAAAAAAGGACTCTTACATTGTTTTGACAGCTTCACGGTTCTTCAACTACAAAGAGTGAAAGTTAGAAATTCGTACTAAAACAGACGCGCGGCATACTCCGTTCGCTACGTTCGTTGTAAAAAAATAATAATACATTATTTTGCATGTGGATAAACCACTCCCATCTGTCTGTTCATTAGCGATTTTATCACGGCGTAATATCAGCAACCATTGCACTCCCCAAATTAAATTCGTTGCATCGATAGTAGCAATACAGCCAATTAACATACTGATAGAAGTGACTTGCATTTTCACGATGAAGACATCTGAACTTGTCGCATTAAAATAAATAGATTTACTTTAAAATGACAATAATATTTAACGATTATGGAGTCATTCACACGTGAAATGATGTTGTATGCTGATACGTGAATAACGTATACGTAGCGTGCGAAGTGTGCCGGCCCGACTGTTTTTGTATGAATGTTTAATTTGCACTGCTTATATTTCGAGACCAATCAAGCTGTCGAAAAAAGAAACGTAAGAGATCTGTGTTGTAGAAAATCTCATTCTCTACAAAAAAAAAAGTAGTCTGTATACACTTGGATGACTAGCTTAGCCGTCACAAGCCAAAATATCATTGCATGTATATTTATCCTTTAATATTTCTCGTAACCCGATAGAGAATTTTAATACAAACTTGTCTATTACTTTCTTACGGGGGATTGATAGTTTATGAGATATTTGATTATACGCGTTTGATCAATTTGGCGGCCGATGCATGTCGCCAATTTGGATTCATAACTATGAAGCAGTATTCTGACATCAATAAAAAATATTATTTTGCACTTTTTGTAAATTTTGCAAATGTCGCTCGATTCACAGTTAATTCTAACCTCATATTCCTTGTCTAAATAAGACAAACCTCACTGTTTGTCAATTCAAATAATTCGTAAATAAAATAAAGCTATTGCAGTGACGTTACATTCATAATGTTTTATCATCTATCCATTTATGTTCCTTTAATAATAATGTTGTATCTTCATTCTTTGCTAAGAATTTTAAATATTTGCCATTCTATAACAAACAAGGTATTATAAACCTATTTTTTGAACTTTCTCCCGATCTGATACATAAGGGCAACTGCAAAAATGGTCGTAGCACCGTAGCATCTTCTAACCGAAACTTGTTTTTTTGCAGATCTGGACCACTATAATTCCTATCTGCTACAGCAACACCAAGTACAACAAACCCATCATCTGCACCATCACAGCCAATCGCCGTTCACTACACCCTCACCACCACCCCCACAGATGAGGCACTCCATCCCTACCTCAGTCATCCAGGCAACGACTAGTAGCATGTACGACGATCCATATATGTTGGGATTCTCGCCCAGAAAGCTCAAAAAGGTAAGCATGACAAATCATGATAAAATTAGTGTAATGAAACTTATGGTGTTGTTCACATGTCGATAAAATTGATATGTGTACTTTGGATTCAAAGCCAGACCAAGCTCTGTAGGTACTGAAAATGTTATTCCGTGTCGCACGGGTATCTTGAAAAGCGACATTCTGTCGTTTTTTGATATTTTATGGTTTTTTGTGACATAACGTATGTTTTTCTACAAGATGTCAACTAGCTGTTGTACACTTGTTGTGAACTTGTTTTTTAGCCATACGTGTTGCCTAAACGTCATGATGCTTCAGCTATCAATGTTTGGCTCTGATGGGATATAACTACTGTTTCAGAGATGGCATTATTCAAGGCCTAAGCTGTAAGTTATATACTATAGCTGGAAGGAAGCGGCAGTGCATATGAGCATAGTGAGGATGTGTGTGCTAATAATCTGTGTTGATGATAATTCCATCGGTTTGTTGTATTAAATATACTTACTTGAGATGTATTCAAAGCTATAAATTAGTTGCGCATGTACTTTTCCTTATTCATTCTGGAAACTACATATGCAAATTTGCTGTATTCAAAAAATGAGGGAGATGAGAAAAGAAAATTCCTGGTTGATGAAGTAATTACTTTATGTGGAATCTTATATTTTAAACTTACACACTGCGACATATTGCAATTATATTCACTCTTCACTGTCGACTTACAAGTCATATACACGCTAACAGTAATTACACACAAAACGGGACAAATCGTAAGTTATAGTTTTTAACATAACCTGGACCACAAATAAATACGCCGTCTCGCACAGCTCATAGATATACTTTATGGGCAGCACATTCAGTAACAATTTTCTCACAGCAAATATCACTGATTTTCTACACATGCTGACCACACATAATCATCTAGATCATCCATAAACACTACAGACTACACTGCTTCACAAAACATATACACTCGGCTTTTTGCAACCAACAATGCATGCTCGAGCATGTCGAGCTGTTAAGTCATTCCTCCATAGATGGATGGATGGATGGAGATCGATTTAAGTTTTTACCCCTGCCCGACTCGTGCACTCCATATGTATACACAGTATGTCCCAAAATCAATGTCAATCTCCCGTATGCATTTAGAGCACAATAGATAATGCTAAACGTTCCTATACATTCTATTATAGGGGACTCCCTTATAAAGATACAGGCCCGATTTTAATACCCCGAGCGCAAATTTTGCATCTAGGGCACATCATCTAATCGGAAGGCGCTTCTAAGTTATTGGATCCAGCATATATATATAGTCGATTTCTTGTAAAATATGTCTCAAACAAGAGAATAATTATACGATTTGTGTAATCAGCATTTGTGTCCGTTGGCCTGTTCTAGTCCGCGGCGCTTCGCGATTTGAACAATAATTTCAGGCTGCACTCCATAACCGTTTTCCTTACTTCCTAGTTGCATAAAGTATACAGATGTCATTCTCATCTTTTTAGGTGAAGAAGCAGAAAGTAGGAGAAGGGGGTGCCGTGAAACGGAAGAGTAGGGAGGGATCCACAACCTACCTTTGGGAATTCTTACTCAAGCTGCTGCAAGACAGAGAGTACTGCCCAAGGTTTATCAAGTGGACCAACAGGGAGAAGGGTGTCTTCAAGCTAGTAGACTCGAAGGCGGTGTCAAGGTAATAAAAGGGAGTTTGCAATCGGCCGAAATGCATCGCTAACTGTTGTATTTCATCAATCATTTAACTAAACTGAGTTTAACAATGACTCACATTTTGAATAACGAGACAAATATAAAAAACGGACGACATAGATTACACGTATTTTGACATTTCTTATAATATCAAGCTTTTTGCTGGATTATGGAGGATGGGCCCTACAAATTAAAAATATTTTGAAGTGAATTGCAGCATGTATAAAGTTTCACAGTTTCATATTTTAAATCGGACCCCCTGCATATTTGGATTCCTAATTTTAGTGCGACTGTGTAAATAAAACTAACCGTTTAGCCACAAATAGATATTTTTGCAAAATTAGAGGTTAGAAGACAGTTGAATATCATGGTCGTTATTAGCGATGTGCTGATAGGACAACGAGTAGAGTAATCTAAATAATATCGCGATGCACCATCTACTACTACAATCGACCATTGCCAACAGTAAATCGCAGTTAATTGGTTGGGACTGTAAAGATCTGTCCGCGAATTGCAGGCCCAGACACCACGTGACCGCTAGGTGGCGACGTTTTTAGCTATGTAATTGAAGTGGTCTACTTGCCATTGAACAAAATAAAAATTCTCTGCTTTGGTCCGTCCGACTGTCATTGATCGGACGAACAAAAGCGAAGTATTGCAAATTCTGGCATTGGGTGTTGTTTTAAAATTGAGCATAGAAAAAAGCGTGTTGGAAAGCATTTAAACCATAGGACGTTGAAACACATCTGGAACCACCTTTAGGCGATAGTACGTATTTAAACGAAAGAAACACTGAAACGTTATATCCTTTTAGTATACTCACAGTATACTAAAAGTCACATATTTTATGTAGCTTCGACTTGAATTTTTACACGGTTTCCTTAGGATACGATAGAGATACTAAAACAGAATTTGGAACACATCCAGACGTTCTTCAACGTTTCGGCAACAGCGGTGACGTAGTGGTAGATGTTATGGGTCTACTAGTTAGTCAATGTGCGCTGCGCGGGTTCGAATCCTTTCCCAAGAGACATTTTTCTCTTGGCTTTGGATGTTGTGATTGTCCTTAGGGAGCACCCGGTGAATTTCTAAGACGGGGCCAGAATGTGCGCATGTTGCATGCACACGGGTTCCCTCGCTAGAGTCCATGTGGCGTTCCTCCTTTCCCCTGTATCCTAAAAAGAAATCATTTGACACTTTCAACCTCGAAGCTGTCAGCAACTGATCATATATTTTATTCCAGGTTATGGGGGATGCACAAAAACAAACCTGACATGAACTATGAAACAATGGGTCGGGCTTTGAGATACTACTATCAGCGAGGCATCTTGGCAAAGGTGGACGGTCAACGATTAGTCTACCAATTCGTGGAGGTGCCCAAGGACATAGTTGAGATAGACTGTACGGGCGCCGCGTGAACGCTCTCAACTTCATAGCGATTCTACGGTGATTGTGAGAATTGCTGGCCTCCTCGAATTAGTCAGTCAAAGGCGGAGACTCACTTTACAGAAGGTCGTAAGAAGAAGTTGTGATATCGTTCTAGGGCGAAGAAAATGTAATTTTAATATTGGCAAAACTTAAATTACGAAGCATCTCAAACGTTTGTCAAGCCACAAACATAGAAACGACTTGCACTATAAAATCCAAATATTTTTCAGACTATACAGTGCCATGATTCAAATAAGTTTCTCATTTTATCAAAACATCTTTCTTACAGACTAACCAAATACCCATGCAGAAGGATATATTTTAAAATTAATATTAGTAATAGCTTACATTTACTGGAAACTCCTTTTGTCATAGATTAGTCAACTAGCTATCTGCATAATAATGCCGGCTTCTTGTGTTCTGATCAATAGATTGATATTAGACAACAAACAAAAAAAACTTCAGTGTCAGGCTTATTCTAGTTCTGTCTAAAACTTAGTCCATGAACGTAGCCCAATATTTCGGTTCTATGGACCTTCACTGAGGAAAGTTGCATCCACTGACTAACATAACAAGGAGTCGCAGTACCCGAATGAATCGCTGTCTCGAAAGTACAATAAAGCACCCTAACTAATTTATTTTGCGTCAAGGATTTGTACATAGATGACTCAATGGAATATCCAACGAGCGTAAAGATCTCAATTCCTAATGGTGACCTCTTTGGAAGATGTTAGATGGACTAAGAGGTTGTGATTGTGTTATCTAAAGTAGCTGGCAGTCCCTCCAGGGACAGGGATAACTGGTTACTGAAATAAAATTATTATCATGTTTAGAGTGTCACATGAATGTTGTCGTAACTCGTATGACATAATGCTCATATTTGAGCAAGAATATAACAAGGATATTTTTCATACCAAGCAGCACCTTTAATTTATCAACGTCAAGTGAGGTCTTAAGCATCATGCCAGCTGTCAAATAAGTGGTGTGTCTAAGCATTGCTACGCATCTTGAACAAGATACGTCGATCTAGCAGTACGTGAAAGTGTAGCTAAAATCCATATAAAAAAATCAGAATACGTAAAAAATATTTCAACTTGTTATAAATTGACTCTCGTTTCCTCAGCTTCCTCGGCTGACTTAATAAGATGCTTTTAAATTTGGGTTGTCGTCGTTTTCCAAAACATCGTAACTGTAACCACACTATTTCATACAATGTTGGATGGCATTTACTTTATCTGACAGATTGTAACAATTGAACCATATTGATGCATGTGCACTTTAACTTAGTTTAGCATTTCCTCCAATCCTCCTATCAACAGGAATTGGGTAGTTATTGTCAACAACGACATAGATAAATTTTATCAAAGACTATTTTGCTCAGCTTATGAAATTTTATATTTGTAATTGTGTCATTGTCATTGTGACTGAGCAAGTGTCGTTCTATTAGTCATGAATTGTTAACGCCAGATACATAGCATCCGACAATACTCCACGTCTACGGATTATTGATTTTACTTTGTGTTAAATCCTCTGCTCAATGGATGTATGTATAATTCAGTATGGTTTTTGTCCGTTTTCATGGACTGCATTTAATTAGCAATACATGTACAAAAATACAGAATATCTATATAATTTTTGATCACTCGTATGAGTTATAAGAAAATTGGTATATCATGTTATTAGATATAAATACATATTGTATCACTGTTGTTTCTGTTTTTAGTATGAAATAGTGAATGTTATCATATTAGATTTTTTATCAAGTTGTACATTTTAAGGAAAAATATTGCAGTTATTAAGTATGGCAGAAAAAAGATAAAAGTAGAAAGAGTGAAATGTGATATGAAAAGACGAGGTATTTTGGAGGAATTTTTCATGCTTTGTATAATATGTTTTAAACTCGTTGAATACACGGAAGGTGCTTTACAAATTGGTGAAGAAAAGACTGTGCGGTGCCTACAGATTGACAGTTTCTAAGCAACTGGTATTTATGAAAAATAGCTCTCTTATATTTTCCAATGAATTAATACTTTCGCTTTTGTCTCAGTATGTATACAATGTTTTATATTTCTTCAAATATGGCTAAAAAGTAGTTAAACTCCTGAAGGTATTGTCTTCAAGGCTTGGACCATAAATAGTAAGGTTTTGTAATGCGTTACACCAGGTAGAATACGTTTACCAATGGTTCACCCAATATTCATTATATTGTATATCTACCTAAACGGTAAAAAAACTGTGTAACATCCCGTAACAACTATGCATATTTGTAAAAAGAGATTCAATTAAACTTGTACATAGTAAACATTTTTGATCACTTTTCTAAAAATTCATATTACTATAGGTGTACATTCTGTATAGTATTTATTTCGATTCAAAATATCATGTTTTAAGTCAATTTTGTTCTGTAAATTTTTGTAACCTTCTGTGATTTTGTAAGCTTAGTTTTCTAAATTTTTATCTAAGTTGTTTACAATACGTGTACCTAAATGATAATGTGTCTTGCATCCCCTTAACTCAGTGCAAATCAGGAAAAGTTATATTGTAGTCTTATGAACATTAGGATAACGGGATACAAAATTTTACCAGTATGACATATTTAGAAAGTATGGAATGATGACTTTTGTGCACTGTAACGAACGGCCACTAGAGACGTTTTCAACGAATATACTTTTACGGAATTAGAAAGACCTATACGTCAATTCGGCAAAATTTTCAAACCGTTGTTCTGAGCGCTCGTACCAACAAGGCAGAGCATGGAGAGTGAAATGCTCAGAAAATGGATATCTGTTTGTATGCTGGTGATTTTTTTTCCCCGAAAATAAGACATTTGGTATATAGATGAATCATAAGAAACTAACCCAGGTTTTCTCTCAGTGAAAATATATGCCCAAAATATGTGTAGATCAGATAGTGTAAGTGTTACGATGTTGACAACAAACAAAAAATTCTTGGAACTGTGTATTATTATCGTCCAATAACAATGTGATATGTCTGCATGATTGTTATTTGTCGCCTATAGGATAATTGTTGTATATGTTAAATGTTTATGTTGTAATTGTATAGAATAACTGATTGGACCACAAACTTATTTGCTAATCTAATGCCGTTTTATAACCACGTGTTACTTTGAGATGAACTGTACGAACATTTTTGGTGATATTGCAATAGAGATGTTACAGATTGTGTATATAGCATAGTTTTTATTACTTCGCAAAAATACCTACCTATCTTTAGAATATTAGAATTTAAGTGATTTGAAAACACATTGTATAGATTTATTTTAGTTGTAACTCGAGGTACTTCTTTATTACATGGTTTATTGTAATATCTTGTCTTTATAAAAATATAATATCAATAAAGACAATGCTTTTTTTTGATAGTCTTGAAAGTTATAGACCTCTTACACCAGACCTCCATATACCAGATGTCCATCATATTACGTTAATAGACGCCAACTCTATAACTAATAAACGAGACTGTCCACATGATAGATGAAAAGTGCGACTGGGCGGTAATCCAAAGCTCTGCGATTCTCTATTCTACATAATTGAACAACTATAACGATAATTATGGTTGAAAACAGCGTTTTCAACGTATGTACGACAAAATACGGCTGTTTTACATAATAATAAAACAACTATAATAATTATGGCAGTAATAATATAATAATAATTCAAGGTCATTTATGAACATCTAGCCAAATGTTATACTCACCTGCTGTTCAAACCTAAAGAACTGCCACCATACATTACCAAAAGCGAAGGTGTTCTCAAAAGATCCATCTAAATATAGGCCGATCACCTGCCTTCCTACAATATGTAAAATATTCACGACCATCCTATCGGAAAAGATATATACCTGGAAAGAAATAGTCTGTTGGACGAGAGCACAAGGGTTGTCGAAAAGGATCCATAGAGGGTGTAAAGAACAATTAATAATAGATATGGTCATCACATCTCACGCTAAACGCTCAAAAGGCTCTTTGCACACTGCGTATATAGACTATCAGACAGCGTTTGATAGCGTGCCCCATTCCTGGCTATCCGAAGTGTCACAGCTTTATAAAGTCGAGCCCCATGTACTGAATTTACTGAACTAAGCTATGTCTCAGTGGAAAACCAAAATTGTTTTAAACACCAATCAAATAAGTGTAGATGCAGGCACCATTAAGATAGAAAAGAGAATATTCCAGAGGGACGCATTAAGTATGCTATGGTTCTGTCTATCGCTGCGACACCTGACAACTATGTTGAATAGTCGCGCAAAGGTTATATACTGCCACATTCAGACAAGAATATTAGTCACCTTTCGTACATGGATGATTTAAAGATGTACGCACAATCTAAAAAATACCTCGGCGACCTTCTGATTTGTGTCACTCGATTCAGCCGCGACATAAAAGTGTCATTTGGGCTGGAAACATTTAGGACCAACGGGATGGAGAAGGGCCAGTGGGTACATCGTGCTGGTTATAAAGTCGCTGAGCGACAAACCACCGGAATGGAAGAGGTACAAATATATTGGTTATGTGCAAGCAAGAGGCCTAGATCATAATGCAGCTAAGCAGACAGTAAGTGACACCTACATTAGAAGGATCCGGTAGATACTAAAGACTAAGCTGTCTGCCAGAAACATGGCAAAAGCAGTAAAAACGTATGCCACATCTGCAGATTCTTATAGCTTTGGAGTAATTCATTGGACAGAAACAGAACGAGAACCAGAAAAGAGTTCAGCAAGTTCATCCTTGGAAAGGTTCCACTTACCTAGAAAGTTGGGTGGAAGAGGTATACCTGATCTGGTTATTAACCACAACAGGCAAGTAACAAACCTGAGGAAGTACTTCCTCGGCAGGGCTGCGTCCAGTGAGATTCACCACGCTATCATAACGACGGACAATAGGGCTACTCCTTTGAGACCGGCAGTCCAAAACTTCAGCCGCAGCGTGGACCAACTCATGCCCGAGCAACAACTGCAACAATCGAAGAGTAAGGCACTTCATGGTAAATACCGCACCCTACTTGAGAACGATAACATCGATACCTTCACGTCCACGGCCTACCTCCGTCCTGGAAACCTATTTTCTGAGACAGAAGGGTTTATATCTGCTACCCAAGATCAGGTCATCGCAACTAAAGTATATAAAATAAACATAATGCGGGAACGACAAGTCAATATCAGATGTCGTGTGTGCGGTGAAAAAGATGAATACCTGGATCACATCATCGCTAAGCTCAATTTTGGCACCGAAATCCTACTTAGACAGGCACAACAAAGTTGGAAAAATAATCCACCAAAGCCTTCGTTAAAAGTACATGGGATTGACAGAAATAGTGCCGTACTATTTATACGAGCCGCCCGCTGTGTGCGAAGATGAACAAACCCGGCTCTACTGGAATCGAAAAATTATAACTGAGACACTGATAAGTAATAATATACCGGATATCGTACTCACTCCAAAAAATTAAAACAAAACATACATGTGGATTTCGCTGTACCATTGGGAACCAACCTAGAAAAGACACATGGAGAAAAAATCAATAAATACCTACCTCTGAGCGATGAAATCCACCAAACGTGGGACATGGAAACTGTGGTCATCCTCCCCATTGTGATCAAAGCAACTGACGAAATACCTAAAAAATTAAGAACATTAAAGTAACTACTAGGATTACCGTTTGAATTATACTTACCCATGTCGTGTTGGACACATGCAGTGTAGTCCGTAGAGTTTTAGGGGGCAACTAGAACAATATGTTTCTAACATCACCCTCGAACGGGCCATCTTGTTTCAGAACCGATGTGCCAGCGTTCTTAACCGTGAGTTAGATAAAGAAATAATAAAAATAATAATAATAATAATAATAATAATAATAATAATAATAATAATGATAATGATAATGATAATGATAATGATAAGGATAACGATAACGATAACTGATAACTGATAACTGATAACTGATAACCGATAACCGATAACCGATAACCGATAACCGATAACCGATAACCGATAACCGATAACCGATAAATAATAATAATAATAATAATAATAATGATAATAATAATAACTGATAACCGATAACCGATAACCGATAACCGATTAATAATAATAATAATAATAACAATAATAATAATAATAATAATGACTGATAACCGATAACCGATAACCGATAACCGATGACCGATGACCGATGACCGATGACCTATGACCTATGACGTATGACCTATGGCCTATCACCTATCACCTATCACCTATCACCGATGACCGATGACCGATGACCTATGACCTATGACGTATGACCTAAGACCTATCACCTATCACCTATCACCTATCACCGATGACCGATAACCGAAAAATAATAATAATAATAATAATAATAATAATAATAATAATAATAATAACTGATAACCGATAACCGAAAACCGATAACCGATCAATAATAATAATAATAATAATAATAATAATAATAATAATAATAATAATAATAATAATAATAATAATAATAATAATAATAATAATAACTGATAACCGATAACCGATAACCGATAACCGATAACCGATAACCGATTACCGATAACCGATAACCGATGACCGATGACCTATGACGTATGACGTATGACCTAAGACCTATGGCCTATCACCTATCACCTATCACCGATGACCGATGACCGATGACCGATGACCGATAACCGATAACCGATATCCGATAACCGATAAATAATAATCATAATCGTAAATCGTAAATCGTAAATCGTAAATCGTAAATCGTAAATCGCAAATCGCAAATCGCAAATCGTAAATCGTAAATCGTAAATCCTAAATCGTAAATCGTAAATCGTAAATCGCAAATCGCAAATCGCAAATCGTAAATCGCAAATCGTAAATCGTAAATCGCAAATCGCAAGTCGTAAATCGTAAATCGTAAATCGCAAATCGCAAATCGTAAATCGTAAATCGTAAATCGCAAATCGCAAATCGTAAATCGTAAATCGTAAATCGCAAATCGTAAATCGTAAATCGTAAATCGCAAATCGCAAATCGCAAATCCTAAGTCGTAAGTCGTAAGTCGTAAATCGTAAATCGTAAACCGCAAATCGCAAATCGTAAATCGTAAATCGTAAGTCGTAAATCGTAAATCGTAAGTCGTAAGTCGTACATCGTACATCGTACATCGTAAATCGTAAATCGTAAATCGTACATCGCACATCGCACATCGTGCATCGTACATCGTACATAGTACTTCGTACATCGTACATCGTACATCACGCACCACGCACCACGCACCACGCACCACACACCACACACCACACACCATATACCATACACCATACACCATACACCATACACCATACACCATACACCATACACCATACACCATACACCATACACCATACACCATACACCATACACCATACACCATACACCATACATCATAGATCATAGATCATAGATCATAGATCATAGATCATACATCATACGTCATACGTCATACGTCATCCGTCATACGTCATACGTCATACGTCATACGTCATACGTCATACGTCATACGTCATACGTCATACGTCATACGTATACGTCATACGTCATACGTCATACGTCATACGTCATACGTCATACGTCATACGTCATACGTCATACGTCATACGTCATACGTCATACATCATACGTCATACCTCATAGATCATCGATCATCGATCATCGATCATCGATCTGCGATTTGGGATTTGCGATTTGCGATTTGCGATTTGCGATTTGCTATTTGCGATTTGCGATTTACGATTTACGATTTACGATTTACGATGTACGATTTACGATGTACGATTTACGATGTACGATTTACGATGTTCGATGTACGATGTTCGATGTACGATGTTCGATGTACGATGTTCGATGTACGATGTTCGATGTTCGATGTACGATGTTCGATGTACGATGTTCGATGTACGATGTTCGATGTACGATGTTCGATGTACGATGTTCGATGTACGATGTTCGATGTACGATGTACGATGCGATGTACGATTCATGATGTACGATTCATGATGTACGATTCATGATGTACGATTCATGATGTACGATTCATGATGTACGATTCATGATGTACGATTCATGATGTACGATTCATGATGTACGATCCATGATGTACGATTCATGATCTACGATTCATGATGTACGATTCATGATGTACGATTCATGATGTACGATTCATGATGTACGATTCATGATGTACGATTCATGATGTACGATTCATGATGTACGATTCATGATGTACGATTCATGATGTACGATTCATGATGTACGATTCATGATGTACGATTTATGATGTACGATTTA